CCAATCTCACCACGCGCACCTGAACCCTCCGGTGTTTGAGTCCGACAACGCCAACCTCTCCCTCCCTCCTCTTCCCCCGTCGTCCGCTCCCTCGACCTCCCAGCGCAACCCAGAAGAAGAACAAAAACAAAAACCCAGAAGAAGAAGAAGAAGAAAAAAAAAACTGAATCTGCAACCTAGAAGAAGAAGAAGAAGGAGGAGGAAGAAGAAGAAAAAAAAAAAAAAATGAGGAACCCAGTTCGTTCCCCCGAGGAAAAAATAAATAAAAATAACCGAATCTGCAACCCAGATTCGGAGGAAGAAGAAGAAGTAAAACCCAATCCCCAAAACCCAGAAGAAGAAGAAGGAGGAGGAGGAGGAGGAAGAAGAAAAAAAAAAAAATGAGGAACCAGTTCGGCCCCCCCCCGAGGAAGAAGGAATAGAAAAAAAAAAGATTTTTTTTCAAAAGTTTTTGGCGGGAAAAAAAAATTTAATACTACAAAAATCCCTTATCTAAAAAAAAAAAAACAAAATCCACGTGGACCCACGTGGCGACCCACTTGGCGCCGAGTTATTGTCCACATGGGCGCCACGTCACAGTTAACGGAAGACTTAATAGTTTGACTAATGGATGTATGAGACTGTCCCAAAATTTACACTTTAGATATGACTCTGGGACAAAAATTGATGTACTAAATGTTGAAAACCACGAAACATGAGGTAGTAAACAGTCTTTTGTCCTTAAAAAAATTAAAAATTAAAAGTTTGTTTCAGTTCCTTTCTTCCTCTTTCTCTATCTCTCTCTCCCACCCTCTTCTACGAGAAAACCCAGCAGCCATCAAACTTTCTCACAGACCCAGCCCCGTGAGCCGTCGGAACAACACCTTAACTGAAACAGAAACAACATCCCTCATAGACACAGAAAGAGAAAGAGAGAGAGAGACAGAAGGCCACACACAGAGCTTCAAAGCCCTACAGCAGTGGCGGAGGTCAGCGACGCCGAGGGCTTTGGAGACTTCATGTTCATCATCGCCGTTGATCCCAATCCTAAGATCAACAGACGAGATTTGACCTTCTCGGACGACGATTGGGGCGACTTAATCTCCGACAGATCGAGCCAGATCAATGCCCGGGTCATGCGCTCCAATCGGAATGGGTCAGAATTGAATTTAGGTTCCGGCGGTCCTAATTCGACCAAAAACGGGTTGAATTTCATTGCCAATGGGATGGATTTGAAGTTTGACGCTCTGGTTCAGCAAGGAAATGGGAAATTTTGTGGTTTGAAATTGGGTTCGAATGGTTTTGATTTGAAATTTGATGGTGTGGGTTCGAATTCGAATACAAGTGTGTCGAATTCGAGTTCTGGTAATCCTAGTTCGGTCAAAAACTGGTTGAATTTCAGTAGAAATGCATTGGATTTGAAGCTTGATGCTCTGGGGAAGGAGGGGAAAAGGGAGGATATTGAAGAGGGAGGGGAAAGAGGGTGCAGGGAAGCGGGAGTGGGGAGGCCAAAATAATTTTTATTATTTTTAATTTTTTTATTTTTAAGACCTTTTTTAATATTCAATAGTTCATATTGGCACTTGTTGCTCTGTCATTGTCTAAATAGATGTCACATCATCATTTAACAGAAATTTTAACGAAAAATTTCACAAATATATGAAATTGTTTATGAATTATAATTTTAGATACTAGACTCGAACAAAAAATACTTGACATAAAATGTTGAAAAACAAAAAAAATTCATAATAATTAATTGAAATTAATCTTTATTTTATTTTATTTTGTCATGAGTTGAATTTTTCTGATAACTTGTTCTTCTTTAAGACGCAATGTTTGTTCATGATAGTCACAAATGGGTTATAGAGTGTTCCATGTTTTTGAGGTCCCATGTATACTTTTGAAATTACGGTCCGACCAGACCAATACAAAGAATTTAAGAAAAGTTATGGACTTTTTTTGTGTAATATAAAGTGAGAGAGGAGGTCATAAGGGTAAAAGAACCAAACGACAGATTATCGTATCTTCAATCGTACTATGTATTATTCGGTGCTGCAACTAGTTTGTCCACATCTCTCCACTGCAACAGCTCACTCGCACTACGATTCAATCTACGGTATACTCGCTCCCTTATCGCGACACTTGTTCAAATAACTCTAAAACGATTGCCCTTGAAGTAGCTCAAAATTACAGAAATGGTTTTCAGTTGGGCAACCAGACAAGTTAAGTGGGTCCGGTGCAGAGCTGGCGGGTGAGATTAGCAGATGACCAGGTCAGGAAGGAGTACTTACTTGAACCGGATTTACCGTAACATTTTTTATCAAGTTATATATTAATATACCTAAGTTTTTCTTTACGTGACAATTCGATATGAAACTTATAAGTTATAACCCAAGGGGAAGAGCAAGAGGAGGGAGAAGAGAGAAAGGAGGGGGAAGAGAGAGAGAGAGAGAGAGAGTGCAGAATAGTACACAGTCTGGTGGCATTTGTGAAAAAGGCTGACACCGAAGTTGACTCTTGTGTGCGGATTGTCTACTTCACAAGGAACTTGAATTTATCAGTGATTCGATATTTTATTACGAAAATGGTATTCACACATTTATTTTTAGTTTTCGTATATTTTTGTTAATTTTTTGCTGTTGTTTTTTTTTAATTTATTCTATTTCATCACTGAAAATTAAGAAAAATATATGAAAAAGTAAAAATTAATGTATAAATAGCATTACTTTTTTATTATTACTATTTTTTTAAGGGAACTTTAACGAAAAGCATCCGGTACCGTTTACTTTAATGAAAAACCACATTTTTACATTAAAAAGTCAATTCTGGTACTATTCACTTTACCCTTTATTTTATCTTTATCATTAAAACTCAAAGTTTTCAAACCATTTTCATTAGTTTTCTTTTTTTTTTAATGATACAGACTTATATAACATGAGTACAACAACACAATACTTTTTGCCAACATAGAACACTACAAGGCTACTAGTGCTATATAAATAATGTAACCATGTCTTAAACTCACTGCAGTGCAGTGACTGCCAAATTAAGGAGAGGGTTGGTGGTGATGGTGAATTATGTCAAATTTACACCCCTTCCTCTTCATTACTGTACAAACAAACAGTCAATGCCATCTAGTAAGTTATTTCCAGAAAACTATCTTGTAAGTTGCTATCTTATTTTAATAGTACAAGAATTTGAACCTGAAAGAAGGCGAAATGGAGTTTATATAACCCGCATCTACAACCCACTAATCTTTAATGATATTCATAAAATTAAATTCTAATGAGACATATCTTACTTTGACACAAATACCATCTCCAACCCTTGTGGTAAAATTTAAAATTTTTAGCCCATAAAATTTAGGTTTTAGCTCAGAAACAATTTTTTTGCTCCAACCTTTCTGGCCTAAAATTTTTAGCCTAAGATTATTAAAGAATAAATTTAGGCTAATGTTTTTCTTTTAAAGTCATTTAAAAAAAATTATAACTATCATAATTTAATTTTATGAATATTTTAACCCAAAAATATTTAAATTCTGATAAATATTGAAAAATACTAATTTGGGTGAATTTGGGTCGTTAGATCTTTTTTTGTACCGTTAGATTTGATTATATTCGATATCAGCTGTTGGATTCAATAAATCTTGGAAAACATGTTCATGTGGGTGGGGTTCCGCTAATGGTGTCTACACCATTTTCTAGGCCAAATCCTGGGGGGAATTTGTCTTTGGCTTTTAGCATTTTGCCCACACATTTAACATGGGTTGGATTGGGTTGGGTTGGGTTTTGGGGGAGGGAAGGGAATAAAACCTAAAAAATAGCATTTAGCCCATGATTGGGTTTGGTCTTTAGCCCCAACTCTTGCCCAAGACTCCTCAAGGGGTCAATTTAGAGCAAAACTAGCCACCTACTCTTCTTTTTTTATGTTTTTTTTGAACAAACGATAATATCTACACTAAAAGAAAGGGGTGAGCTAGCAATAATATGGTTCAAATTCGTCTTTGGCGAGAATCGAACAAAAAATCTCTCACTTACAAGTGAAGAAAAATGCAACTAGACCGTAGTACTAAGTGGCGAAAGAAAGTATAGTTGATTATGTGTATTATATATGATTATGAATAAGGTTAGCATTAATCACCCATATAGCATGAATAATTGATCACGGTTAATTAGTGCGGATGTCACAGAAAACCTAATTAACAAAAAAATTGGGAATAGTGTGTCAATTTAAGGGGTTAAATCTCGCAAATAGCCCATATCCCTCTAGCCTCTCTATTAATTATTGCAAACCAAATACCTTGTTAGCTAGTTTCCAAAAAAAAAAAAATAAATAAATAAATCCTTGTTAACTATGTTCCACTTTCTAAGTGCAAAATTTTATGGATTCCTAGAAAAAAATTCAATGATTACTTCAATGATCATGGATCTAAGGTTCAAATTATGACTAAGATTCAATGATTCATAGTTGTTGACCCTTAGCTAAGAATTCAATGACTAATACACCAAGAATCCAATGGATATTCCAACGATCATCTCGCTCATGTTATGGGCTGGTCCATACTTGATAAACTCTCAAATAGACGGGCTAAGGATCTGTCAATGACAACTCGCACGAAGCAAAATGGCACTAAATTTCGACTTTCAATGGATGTGGATTCATAATTAACACAAGAGGAAGGTGAAACCTAAATAAGGAAATTTCTTATAAAACAATCCATACAATGTGAAACCTTCAACACCGCGACGCCGGTGGCAATGTGAAACCTTGGCCGTGACAACCAAAAATATACAAGACAAGCTCATTTGTGTTCAATTCTACTAGCTGGGCACACGAAACTTCCACGCACCTAAAACAAAATGGTCCCTCAAGAACTAAGATAAATGGTCCTCAAACCTGACACCAATCTCATTCGGCAAGGAGGAACTAACTTTACACAAGAGGACACAGAAAGCCGAAAAATATAGCACGAATCACCGATGTGGGAGCTTCCTGACGAACATGCATATGAATTCAAGTACTTTGAGAACCTGTCTTGCTCATTGAATTCAAGTAGGAAAATGAGCACTTCGAAAGAAATAACAACATAAATTCTGGGGACTCATGGAGTAGCGCACAAAAATATTGCGTTTAACAACAATTATGAATCCCTTCAATATGATACATCACACTTTTCCTATCCTGCAAGTATGTGACAATTGCTAGCTTTTCGATTCCAATCAATCCCCGTTTTGGCGAAACTTCTGATGTTAACAGCACCAGAGCTACAATGGAAAAATTACGAACGCTAGTCTACACGGAGCTCTGTCTGTGATGGTAGCCAGAGTGATTAACATTCATTCCTTTTCTCCTTAGTTGGGCGTGGATGTGAGGTTATAACAGAATTGAATATTAATCCATCAAGCACAATTCACTTTGGTTTGTCTGTCAGGGTTACCAAGGACTTCAGCACACCCGGACAGATCTTATCAGCAAGGGCACCTTTGCCCGAAATCACAAGGGATTTCTCCTTCACAATGCCTTGCAACCTTCTAGAGTCTAAATCAAGTTGTTCTTGTTCTGCATCCCAAAGGCAACAACAAAAAGTTCAGAATCTTCTTTCTGAAAAATAAATAATGAAGCTACAAAGCATTCAACTTATAAAATAATATATCTATAAAACATAGAAAAAGAAAGCACACATGAAAACTCATGAATTCTGAGAGTTCACGAGCCATACTCCCTACTTTGGCGGTAATAAGAGCCTGGACAGCAACGCAGCAATACATATCTAAAAACTCGAATGAATTCCTCTAAGAAGCGTCAAGGGTTAAGTTTGGGAAATTATGATTGACAAGCAGGAACACTATGAAGTCTGACAAATTAAAAGTTTGCTGGACAAATCCCTCTGATCTTTTTCAAATTTGCCAATGTAATCTGAAGCATATCTTCCTTTTGTAAGCTTAATGGAAGTTGCATTCAGAAGATGGCACCTTCATGAACATCTATAGGCCTTTTAAACAAAACACTAGAGCTTCAAGAGTTTAAGAATTCATAAATAGCTCAACCAATTTATTAAAAGATCCTAAATGGTTTATTTAACCATTTTTGCTCACAAGGGCTACTACAGTGGACATTCAAGATTATTCATTAATCCATCGGGATATGGTTACATGGACATATTGATATGTGAAAGCGTTATACTTCTTACTGATACAGTTGGTATATGTCCCAAATAGTTGCATAAAATGAAAAATAAAAAGCGGCTTGAGAGAAACCTGTCTCCAAGATGGTATGGGCAGCATGAAATGGAATCCTTGCAAAGACATCAGTTCCTGGGAACATCATCCAAGTACGGTCATTTGAGTCATGGTTGCCACAGGTAGGGCATACCTCCTTCACCAGAGGTCTTGATTGAGGGCCCCCAATCTCCTTCATTATTGACTCGAAAGGAGATGGAACGCTAGTTTTGGTTGTCCGAGCTATCTTCCTCAGAGATGTAAGTGCTTCTCTGTTCCCATTCCTCACCCTGTCATTTTCAACCATCTGCGTTTTCATATAACAAACACAATCCTCCACTGTGTTACTAACAAGACACAATAGAATACATTAACTTTAATAAAACTGAATTACTTCACATAATAAAGCAACTCAACTGCACTGGGATTGTTGACCAAAAACAAAATACACTACAGGGAATGATGGTTTAACAAACCCAATATAATATATCAGTTAGAAAGGGACCAAGCGACCAAGGGAATTTCGAAAAATTAAGCCAGGTAACTAGATATTTTTTTTTTTAATGTCAACAAGTAACTAAATTTTAATAGATAATTTTGCGTTAACAGTTTCATACAGCCTGCAATATCTAAATTAATAACCTTCTGGCTCCAATCATTTAATCAAATAATTTGTTATCGAAACTTTCCAGTCCTTTAATCTAATCATTAGTTATTGAAACTTAAGAAATACACTGCCATGCTTGAGTTCAAACTTTCCAACTTCACAGCTACATCTCAAAAAATTATCTTTGTTAACGGTAAAACATACAAGTCTGCAAAGAAGGAGGTAGAGGTATAAACTTACCTGGTTTCGAGCTAGAAGGAGATGCTCAGCTTCAGTCTCGAGCTCAATTAAGCTCTTCTGGAACTGCTTCATGGTCTCATCCATTCTTTTCTCCTCAATAAGTATCCACCTAATTGTATTCTGAAACATAAGCCATTACATGCTATTCTTAGTCTCTAAATGAAAAATTTGTCACGGAATAGAAACCAGAAGAGTAGTCTAAAAAGAAACATGCCCGCCGCTTTAAAACCCGGTCATCCCAAGAACAAACACAAAGACGAGCAAATGTGATAATATACAAAGAAAATCTGAAAACGAGTGAAGGGGACAGAAACATAAGAATCTCATCAACTTCCCGAGCAATTTAGACATCTCCCATCAAAATTTTCTTGCTTAGACAGAAAAACATTATCATCTGACTGAAAACTGGCCATATCTTGAATTCAACACCTACTTAGCCTAATATTCAACACAAATAATCATACAAATAACACAAAATAATCAACCATCCACACTCTTAATCTCAAAAATCCGAATTAATAATCCACAAATAATAATGTAAATCCAAAAATCAGAAGAAAAATTAGCAAATGTATTGAATACCCAAAAATAAAACATAAAAAAATCAGAGAAATACCTGATCAAAGAATGGAGACGATCAGACGATTTGTTGGGAGTATTAGTGTGGGTAGATGAGAAAAGGTGTTAAACCCTAGAATTTAAAAAGGGGAAGAACAATACAAAATTGGAAAACGATGCGATTCATTTGTGATTGAGGATACGCGATGGAAATTGCAAATATTTACAAGGGTAATTTCGGTAATTTACCCGAAATACCCCCCATCTGTTTCCCCTGTCAAACGTTGGCAGTATTACTCGGCAGTGCGTTGGAGGAGTAGGATTTGGGAAGAAAAACGATGCAGAGGTTTAAGGCAGCTTTATCGGCCGGAAACGGCGTCCACCTCCGTCGTTTCGTCCGCCATTGCAGAGGCGTATGCTCTCTCCCGGACGCCGCTCTCACCCCAGCTGATAATCTCGATCACCAAGTGAGTCTCTTTCTTCTTCTCCTCCATTACCTATATTTCCACTCCTTCAAATTCAAGCTCGGAGACGTGAAACCGGTATCTCTGTGAGCGTCTCTCAGGTGTTGGTCGAAGGAAAAGCGTGGTCCCGAACGGCAGTTCTCAACAGACCAGCGGTGCTCAATGCTTTCACGACTGCAATGGTGGGGTTTTGTTTCGTAAATTTGATCCTTTTTGTTGGGTTTTTGGAGACCCTTGATTTTGTTTGGGGTTTTGGGTGGAACCCATTGCTGAGAAATCGGTGATTGAATTGTAAAGGGGGCAAGATTGCAGAAATTGTACAAAAGCTGGGAAGATGATCCTGATGTTGGCTTTATTGTTTTGAAGGTGATTGCTTTATGTTTTTTTTATTATGTTGCCACTTATTTCGGTTCTCAAATGTCGCTCTCTGTAGTTTAGATTAGATTAGAATGTTGCTCGAATAAAATGAAACATAAGTTACTAATTTTTCTCAAAGGATATTTGCTTAGTTGTGAACTCGTGATCACTCAAGTGGCAGCTTACAAATTGTTTTGAATTTTTGAAGGGCAGTGGCAAGGCATTTTGTGCCGGTGGAGATATAGTTTCTCTTTATCATATGATAAACAGAGGTTAGCGCCTCCAATCTGATTTTGCTATCAAGACCCTGATAACTAAATTCGCCCCTTCGATAAGTTTGTGAACAAATTTGTATAGCTTACATGTCTATATTTTATGTCAAATATGATGACTTCAGCTTTTTGTATCCGGTTTTAATTCTTCTTTTTCTTCTTAATGTCAGACAATTGTATTTATAACGGTCCTGATTGTGCAGGGAAAATAGACGATTGTAAAGATTTTTTTAGGGCGTGCTATACTTTTATATACCTGCTTGGTACCTGTTTGAAACCACATGTAAGTACTCATCATACTTGAAATTGGGTGAACGTGCATTTTAGGTTCTTCATCGTGTATCCTTCTTAATAAGAAAATCTTGTGAGATTCATCTTGCCTCGGTAATTATTCCTCGAGATATAGAATTTTGAATGTTATCTATTTGTGATACTTGGGTAATATTGAATGCTGTCTTACGGTCAAGAGCAACTTGAGGTTAATTTCTGTTTATTTATTAGTTCATGATTGATGTCCATGCAGGTGGCTATCTTGAATGGCATTACCATGGGTGGTGGTGCTGGAGTCTCAATCCCTGGGACATTCCGCATTGCAACTGACAAAACTGTACGGACAGGGATACTTGTAGACATTATTCTTTGTTTCTTTTTCACAAATTTGCTGGCTTGACGATTGGTTCATATCCCGTTGTTCTTTTTGAATGAGGAAACCATCAATGACTTTGCTGAAGCTTCTTTAGAACTGAAAATTGGTTGAGGTGTTTTGGGGATAATGTAACACACAAAAATCTTCAAGTCCCTCTAAGAAGTCTTCAATAAAATTGATAATAATGTTGAATCTAATCTGAATATACATCAATAACAAGGGAATTGAAGGTGATTATGAGCATATATCATCTTAGCTTAGCCTCAAAAAGGTGTATGCAACCCAGTGTATACACGTCTTGTGTTGTGTCATCCCTTGCCCCTTTAATAATACTCGTTACAAGCTATGAATAGGTGTTTCAGTGCAGTATTGATTATTGTCTTTACCAAATAGATAACTGTTTTTCACTGCCTGGTCAGGGCTTATGCTATATAAGGGTTTTTTTAGCACCTGATTTGATATATAAAGCTACCCTTTCTCTATAATCTGTGTATATGTCAAATTTGTGTGTCAAACTTGTTTGGCCTCTTGAAATGAGTTCACCTTTATTAGTATAAAAGTAAAATCATGTACCAAACAACAAGTGACTTGTGTTCCTAACTCTGTAACTCATCTCCTCTCCCCTCCCTATCTGTGAGATGAAACTAACTCAACCTGTGGAAATATTATGTTCAGTAGAATCAGTACAAGGCATGTGGAATCCAAAAAAAAAAAAAACAAAAAAAAAGACAAAACTCATAGATGTCCATATTTCTGCGAATAAGTTAGGTGGAGTCAATTCAAACCTTATTGATATGCTTATTTGAAACTCATTTGGGAAACAAGGAACCGTCACCAGTCACTGTACTGTTCATATTTGCTTGTAATTCATGCTGCGGACGTGTGATGAATGATACAGCAATTTTGTACATTGCTTCTTTTATTTGCATGATTCAGAAGGTTTTTCCTTGCTCAATATAACAATTTCTAAACTGAAGCAGTAAGATCTTCATTTTATATTCACCGTAGAGAGATGAGTCAGATAAGCATTTGATATTACTTCTGTGTCTTTTATCAAAAGAAAAAAAAAATTGTGTTTTCTTTACATTTGTCTGCTGGTAGAAGCTTTACTATTGTATACTTGCGATTTGCAGGTTTTTGCTACTCCTGAAACTCTAATTGGTTTCCATACAGATGCAGGGGCATCTTTTTACCTCTCACATCTACCGGGTCACTTAGGTATGCTTTCATGGTTATTCATGCATGTTTAACTTGTTCATAGATTATTCAATTCGTAGTAAAAGGGGGGAAACAGTCAAGATAAGTCTGCAGATTTCTTTCCAACTGACAGAGAATACATATTTTAATAAAAATATCATGGGAATTCTTCAGTTTATTATGTGCGAGTCCAAAAATAATTATGTTACATACAGACAATTTCTTGAGAGATTCCCAAAAGGATTTGATATCATCCTCAGAAGGAAAAAATGACTCAATTATCTTCTTTCTTCGTATGAGGTTGAGGAAGCATCTGAGTTATTTAGGCAAAGAATGATGTCGAGCAGCTGTTAAAATTGATATCATTTGCTTCTGCATTTGTAATGTACTTCAAGGTTCTAAATGTTGCTATTTAGGTCATTTTTGACAAATTGTGTAAGTTATAAATTTGTACATTGGAGATTTGTTGGGAATATCGTGTTTAAGAATGGGGAAACTAGAACAAACTCCGGAAATCAAAACAAATAACCAAGATAAATAACAGCAACAACAATCTTTCACTATATCAATAATGAGTACAATCAATAATCTTGCTAAATCTCTAGGACTAGGACTTGACGAAAAACCTAAAAGAACAAGAACAAGAAATACACTATCTCTTTTCTTTTCTCTCGCACACACTTTACAATATTCTCTCACTTAGAGTGGTATACAATTTATTGTTTTGCTCCCTTCTTTCAAAACTAGTACAATAGCTCCTTTATATAGACATAATAAAGGTCTTCTTCAATAAGGATTATTAATCCTAATTGGAATCTAGTTATGAATCCTACTCCAATTGAGAAACTAACTCCAATTGGGTAAACAACTCCAATTGGGAAAACAACTCCAATTGGGAAATTAATTTAATCCTCTAAGACTATAATTCCTTATAGACTTAGGACAACTTATCATGGGCTGGAAAAATCTAACAAGATTGTGATCCCTCATTACTTTTCCAAATTTAGCGTGCTTATTGTTGAGAATATCGCGTTTAAGAATGGAAAAAACAAGAACAAACTCTAGAAATCGAAAAACAAATAACAAAGATAAATAACACCAAGAATTTACGTGGTTCAGCAATATGTGCCTACGTCCATGGGACAGCAACAACAATCTTTCACTATATCAATAATGAGTACAACCAATAATCTTGCCAAATAGAGAACTAGGACTTGATGAAAAACCTGAAAGAACAAGAACAAGAAATACACTATCTCTTTTTTTTTTCTCTCGCACACACTTTATAAATATTCTCTCACCTTAATCCCTTGAGTGGTATACAATTTATTGTTTTGCTCTCTCCCTCAAAACTAGTACAATAGCCCCTTTATATAGACATAAAAAAGGTCTTCTTCAATAAGGATTATTAATCCTAATTCGCATCTAGCTATGAATCCTACTCCAATTGAGAAACTAACTCCAATTGGGAAAACAAATTTAATCCTCTAAGACTATTAATTCCCAATAGACTTAGGACAACTTATCATGGGCTGGAAAAAACCCAACACTTATGTCGTTTGCTGTTTGTAGGGGAGTTCTTGGCTCTTACAGGAGACAGGCTCAATGGGTCGGAGATGATGGCTTCTGGACTTGCAACACATTATTTGCATAGTTCAGTTAATTCCAGGAACCTTTTCCACATTTTTTGAAGTTTTAGATTGGTCTAGCTTTGTTATATAACCTTTGTGTTTTGTTTCCTTTTATCCTAGAGGCTTCCATTAATTGAAGAAGAACTTGGGAAAATTGTCACTGATGATCCCTCTGTCGTTGAAGCTTCTTTAGACAAGTATGGTGAAGTTGTTTATCCCAATGAGACAAGCGTGCTTCAAAGGTTTGTTATAATTGGACGAAAGGACTCAGATAGAATGTGTAAACTCGTCCCTGGAATCTCATTTCAAACAAATTTAAATGCATAAACTTTAAAGTTTAGGTTAAAAACATTTCGAACTGTCATTATGTACTCCTTTAATCTATATAATGGCTTTAATTCTTTTATGTCTTGTTTTTATAGGATTGAGTTGCTCGATAAATGTTTCAGCCATGACACAGTTGAAGAAATTATCGATTCTGTGGTAAGCATATATCGATTTTATTAACTTCTCTTTAGTTCAGAACAGTTAAACCAATATAATATTTTAATGATAAATGAGTTCTTCAGCGCTCTGATTGATTAAAATATTTAGGTTTATTGTCGTTCAAAATGTTTTGTTTCCACCTTAAAATGGTTACTGCAGTGCCTTGAGATAGTGCTCTCGTTTTAAAATTTCTTCTTGTTTTGTTTTGTTTTGTTTGCATTAAAGCATTTCCCATGTCTGCGAAAATCAAATTGCTGATCTGGTTCTGCTAGAATTGAACACTACTTAAAGGAGTTAAGGGATTCATTTGTTGCACCGTGTCTGTAGAATCTTTAGGTTTTCTTTTGCGTTCCATATTATGGTTGGCTCAAGTTCTTTTGGAAGATCGTAAGTTCCAACACTGACGGGTGCTTTTAATAATCACTATCAGTGAATACGTTCTTGGACGGCATCTAATTGTGTGGATTAAAAAACTAATACGCAGGAATGTGAGGCAGGTAGAACAAAGGATGCATGGTGCATTTCTACTCTAAAGAGACTTAAAGAAGTCTCACCATTGAGCTTAAAGGTTTCCTTGAGATCTGTGAGTTTCTCCCTCTCTCTTGGAAACATGTTTGAGTTGACGTTTGTTTAAACCTGTTGCATTATATATACATATATATAATTATATATGAGACCTGTCCCTTCGTTATTAATTGGCGCAGATAAGAGAAGGTAGATTTCAGACCCTTGATCAGTGCTTGGTTCGTGAGTACCGAATGTCCCTACAGGGAATCACTAAGCAGATTTCCAATGACTTTTGCGAGGTATAAATTCCTGCCGTTTTTTCTGATATAATATACAGTAATGATTTGGTAACTATATCTCAGTTGTTGTGGTCATTAGGGGGTTCGGGCACGAGTAGTGGAAAAGGACTTTGCACCAAAGGTATATTTATTCTTTTACCGTCTAACGAAAGTTGGCAGCTTTTGATAACCAAGATATTGATTGGCCATACTGTAACCCCAACTCTTTTATCTTTATTTCATATTGTCGATTCATATAATCGTAACAGGATCATGTTTCTGAAATATGCAGTGGGATCCTCCAAGTGTTGAAAATGTATCCAAAGACATGGTGGATCAATATTTCTCCCCTCTTAGCGAGTTCGAGCCCGACCTAGAGCTACCGACGGAGTTGCGAGAAGCGTTCACCCAGTCCTAGATCCTCCTCCCAAGTCTCTAGTTTTATGTTATTGAAGCTGGCTTGATTCAAAGCATTTGGGTGAACTAGTATTCTTTCATGTTAGCTACTTCTTGAAATTGTACCAGCCCCTTGTTAATAAATAATAAATTTGTATTGAGATTAAGACATTGGGATTTTTCTTCTTAATTCTTTTGGGTGTTCTCAAATGCTTTCGACTTTTTCCCACCACAAACAAGCTCTAATCAACCAAACTTTAAATAACAGGCTCTCACTATCCATTGTTTAGTGCTTAGCTGAGTTAATTTACTACAAATTTTATCTCGAATACGCTTGAGAAAATAAAAAATAAGTTGTTGATTTAGTTTTTGAATTATTACCGATTAAAAATTAAGTTTCTATTTTATATTTTGAAGAACTGTCCTTAAACTCAATAAAAACTTCAATTTTCTTTGTTTTGTGTTAGATCTATTTCATCCAATTCTCTGTCAATTTAGTTTTGAAAGCTATAAATCGTTCAATTATAAGTTTCTCGTAAACTATGTATTTATACTTGAAAACTCAATCTAACTTAGTTTTTATTCAAAGCAAATTTATATTAATATAAATATGTCGTTGTATAAACAAATGTTAAAATTCAAATATGAAGCGGTCAATATAATTTTGTTTTGCTCCCCATGTTTGTAATAGGGTAGCGCATCTAGTGACATCTTTTGTGTTTAAGGAAGGTGGCTTTCATAGTTGGAATGATTTGAACTGAAGTGGTTGTTCAACACTCTAGCATCTGATGTAAATATTTTGATTCGAATTTAATCAAAATTTCTATAGTTTGAAAAAACAAAACTAAATGAATATTTTTATTTATAGATATTTATAGTTTTGAAAGCTATAAATCGTTCAATTATAAGTTTCTCGTAAACCAGGTATTTATACTTGAAAACTCAATCCAACTTAGTTTTTATTCAAAGTAAATTTATATTAATATAAATATGTCGTTGTATAAACAAATGTTAAAATTCAAATATGAAGCGGTCAATATAATTTTGTTTTGCTCCCCATGTTTGTAATAGGGTAGCGCATCTAGTGACATCTTTTGTGTTTAAGGAAGGTGGCTTTCATAGTTGGAATGATTTGAACCGAAGTGGTTGTTCAACACTCTAACATCTGATGTAAATATTTTGATTCGAATTTAATCAAAATTTCTATAGTTTGAAAAAACAAAACTAAATGAATATTTTTATTTATAGATATTTTTATTTTTCTTCTTCGTTGTTGTAATGTAAGGCGTATAACCAACGAGAAGGTTTGTCTTTGGGTGCAAGACCTATATTAGAGGGTACAAGAAATAAACCCCAAAACCCTAAACCAATTCTCATCGTCTTCCTCCTCCCTCCGGCAGCTGCAACTCCGCCATATCCACTCTCCGGCAGCGCTTCCATACATCAGGCCCCACAATTCCTCTTTCGCCTTCCCAAACATTCGGGGCGGTATTCTAATTCTACTCTGCAGAGAATGACGACTCGAATAGCTCCGGGAGTAGGAGCCAACTTGCTGGGCCAACATTCCGCCGAGAGAAACCAAGACGCCACTGCGTACGTCGGCAATCTGGACCCTCAGGTTCTCCTTCCCTTTCCTTCTACTTGCATTTTTCTGACTTGGGCTTTTCCATTTTCCTAGTTTTCGTGGCAAAGTTGAGGAATTTGAGCAGCTAGGGTTTTACTTTTGTTTGATTTCTTCTAATTTCTTTTGATTGATTTCAGGTTTCCGAAGAATTGCTGTGGGAGTTGTTTGTTCAAGCTGGCCCTGTTGGTATGTATCTATCAGATCCTGCTTTTGTAGATTTAGATGGTTGTATTATGGGGTAATTTGTTTAAGGTCACAAAATATTTTCGATATTAGGATTGATTTCAACAACAATTTGCGCTTTTAAGTAGACGTAAGAAAGTTTAGCAAGCGGTATTTACCTTAGTGAGTGGAAAGTTGTTGTTATTGACCTTAATTGAAGAAGAGAATTGTTTCAATTGATCTATGTTAGAAAATAAAATGACTATTGACCTATGCCGAAACATGAAATTATATATTGACTTTAATCAAATTTCCTTTTGTGGTGGTATTTGTAGGCTTGTATGTGTGTTGAAACTTGCTAATGAAAAGAAAAATATGAACTCGATCCAATTGATATTGTGTTAATGTTTGTGCTTCTTCATCTTTCAGTGAATGTGTATGTTCCCAAGGATAGAGTGACAAACCTTCATCAAGGATATGGATTTGTTGAATTCCGTAGTGAAGAGGATGCTGATTATGTAAGTGTTGGCAATGAGCCACGATGTGCTCCTGTTCTTTAGTTACTCTTTAGCTCCTCTTTTTGTGTTGAACTTCTCTAATTCTGGTTATTGATTTGTTGAAATTTTACTGCTATGCAGGCAATCAAGGTGCTTAATATGATCAAACTTTACGGCAAACCAATACGTGTAAATAAGGTATTGAACTATCTTTTTTCTAGTTATCACATTTCTGCATTTGGTGTGTTTTGTGCCCTACAGAAGCTAGTATTACGATAACTCATTTAACAGGGGAAAAATCATTATGTTGACCGTTCAGTCACTGTATGCCGCTGATCATGTATGTATTGGAATTTTGATGGATTGTGTTTTCTTGGTTTCAGGCATCCCAAGACAAAAAGAGCTTGGATGTAGGGGCAAACCTTTTCGTTGGAAATCTCGATCCTGTAAGTTGTTTTGTCATTCTCAAAATCTGTATTGTTAATAGATACTCTATGACATCTGTTCTAATGTTTTGCATTCTTACCCAATATTTCTTGTAGGATGTGGATGAGAAGCTTCTCTACGATACATTCAGTGCATTTGGAGTCATAGTTACAAATCCAAAGGTACTGTATCAGCATGTCTTTTCATCGGCTAACATTTTATGTTCAACAGTTTTTCATAAAATAACTTCTTGGAAAGTATTTTTATCATGTTTTTAAGTTTTTCTTGTTTCATGGTTCCTTTTATATTAAAGAAAATGCTTGGCTGTTATCGTGAAGTGATACAGTATTATGTTTGTGACTGTATTTGGAGGGTATATTCATGCAATAAGTCATTATCAGGTATTCATTTTCTGTGTTAACTGTGATTCTTATGTGGACTGTAATGTTGGTAATTTTCTTTTCTAGATAATGAGAGACCCTGATACTGGAAATTCCCGTGGATTTGGCTTCATTAGTTATGATTCTTTTGAGGCATCTGATGCAGCTATTGAGGTATGTTTCTTTTACTGTTCTCTATTTTGTTTATTTTTTGTAAGCAAGCTGGAAACCAACAATATTTGGATAAGCAAGTGCTTGTCTCTCATTTATCAACTCCTCATAAAATTTGATAATATTTGAAGCATCTAAGGTAGGGCTCTACTTGTAAGTAATAGCTTAATATCTGCTGAGGACTGTTCAGGGTTCTGTGCTGTTATCCTTACGGAAATACAAAGGCTTGTGGAAATGTTTTCTTTGGTTTTGTAGCCTAAAGTCTGAAGGATGTTATTTTGGTTGCATTGTACATGTATCTAATGGTCTTTCTTTGTTGTGGCAATGCTTTGTCGAAATGGTCTTTGTCATGTGTTGAATTTGGTTTCCCTTTTTTTTTTTTTTTTTTTTTTTTTTTTTGTGTGTAGGCAATGAATGGCCAGTATCTGTGCAATCGTCAAATAACAGTGTCATATGCCTATAAGAAGGATACTAGAGGAGAGCGTCATGGTACTCCAGCAGGTGAGGCCTCTTGTTTACTTAGCCACTGCTTTAGTGTTTGTAATTTGTCTCGGTTACATGAAAGCTTCTACTTTAATAACACGGAGGCGTTAAACCATGGTAGTTAAATGAATAAATAGTGAGACCCGTACAACTTGTTTTTACCATGATGTGAAAAATGCAATGCGTTAAGTTTTTACTCGGGGTTAACTTAATTTAAAATCAAACAAAGGGAAAAACAACAAAGCGAAAACTGTTTGTAGTTGGGTTAGCCTTCAGGGAAGACAAAAATTATAGATTTTAATAGGTAAACTTCATTATTGCTGGACAGTACTAAATTACCGCTATTACTTTGCAGAGAGAGTTTTGGCTGCAAGCAATCCTACTTCAAAAAGCCGGCCTCATACACTGTTTGCTAGTGGTCCTCCAACACTTGCCAACGGTCCTCAGTCCAATGGTACCATGGGTGCTCCTGTGCCTCCACGACCTTTCGCAAATGGTGGTCTCGGTATTCCTCCTCTTCGCCCACCACCCCCGCAAGGCATGGGTTTCCCACCCATGCAGATGGCTGTACAACCAACCTGGCAAGGTCAGCCACAGCAACCAGGTCAAATGCCTCCACCTCAAATGCAGCAATTCAGACCGCCGCCAAACATGCCGCCACCTCCTCCACAGTCCGCTCCAGCTCCTCCAAGGTCGCTTCCGCCACCTATGGCAATGGGAAACCAACAACCTATGTGGCGACCGCCCCCTCCCCCTCAGATGAGGCCACCCAACATGCAACATGCGTCAATGCCCCCACCTCCGCCTCTCAATAACCCTCTGCCACCGCCCCCTATGAATTGACTTACCTCAACAATTTGGTTGTAGAATCTGTACTTCGGAAATTTTAGGACAAGAATGTTGAGGTGATTACTGATTGTTAGAGGCGGCTACTTCATTTTGTAAGAGTGATTTGAGAATATGCTTCCCTTTGTTTCTTCTTATTCAAGAGATAATGGTTCAGTTAACCTACGTGACAATACTCAATACTCAGTGACAAAATCATACGGTTAAAAAACTTGACATGTGAAACTCGTCGGCGTATTCAATTGAGAATTTGAGGGATTTTAATTCTTTTAATGAACTTAGGGGTATTCAATCCGGATTTTAAGTGATTCTTTGAAATTCAACATGTATTCAATCAAGATTTTAAAATATTGTATTCAATTAGGATTTCAAAGAAGTCTATAACATTCCTGGTGTATTCAATTAGGAATTTATTTTAAAGAATCTTAAAAAGTTGAGGAATTTAAGAGAATTTGAGAGATTTTGCAATGGAATTTAACCATTCACAAATCAATTAAACTCCCTTAAACTCAATGAATTTATAAATCTATTAAAATCTCTTAAATTCTTAATTGAAAATACACCGGTCATCATTTCTTATTGTATTTCATTGAAGGCTTGT